CTTAACAGTGAACCTGTTGTACGTGCTTGCACAAACAATAATAACATCTTTGCACAAAGGGTAATAACATCTTATCCTGTGTTTCGGAATCTTGACTAACCAGACAGAGAAGTGAAAGAAGTGCTTTAGCTCAATCGAGCCGAAGTAGTTGAACCTCTGAGAGAAGGTTATGATCCCACTACTAATGTGAATAAATTCCAAACCCCCTCAAATAATACACACTATGCCACGCCCAGCTCGTCCGATCCTCGTGTGTGCCACGCCCCCTCATTACCCACGTGTACTACCCTGATTGTTCCCAGCTGTTTGATGTTATTTTCGGCTTGTTTAGTGTATATCAGTCCACGTCTTCATCCGTTTCCCTGATCCGTCATTGATGTTGTGTGGCGTGTTTTCCTTGTCTGTGCTTAATAAAGCCCGTTTGCCCGTATTTACGGCTCCACTCCTCTGTCTGCCTGCTCGTCTACCACCAATCGTAACACACTAGTCAATCAAAATGTGCTGCACTGCAAACTTCTGTCACTCAAGTGAACACAGCACAAGCACACTCCAATTGTCAATTAGTCCCCAAAAAGTGAAAGTGAAAAAAGGAAAAAGAATAATAAAAAATAGACAAAGAAACCCCCTCCAGCAAGTGGCTCCCAATTCATGTAACACTTGTACACATACAGCATATGGCCAATGCTAGAGCATATTAATGTCAAGGCTAGAGCAGGGGTCAGGAACTGCATGCAGTTTTTTGGCTCTTAGTTTGCTGCTACAAAGCTATCCAAAGACTATCATATCATTCAACTGTTGCATCCCGCAGGGTGGGGCTGACCACTCAGTGCCTATTAGCATTTACACCTACCTCGCTCCCTTTATTAAAATCCCTACAATAATGAATTTGGCTATGCCCTCCCAATAACCATGTCAACCCTCAAAATGGGTGGAAACCTCAACCCCCCATGTTCTATCCAAAGTTATGCCCATGGGTGTGTCCCAGTCCTTTTGTTCATATAGTATGTGTGTGTGTGTATGTGTGTACATATATATATATATATGTGTGAGTTTTTGACACACGGGTCACCACACCATGCAAATGCGTATTCAACCGCGCCAGCTGCTGCAAAACTCTAGCAAGCTACTGAGTCGCCTAGTTAGCCTTCAATTTATTTCTACTAAACTTAAGAAAGGGTATAAAAATGAATGGGAGAGCTGGACCAAGTAAGGAGCCAAAAACCGACCACTTCCATACGGAATGGAAGGAGGACTTTTTCCACCATGTCATATTTGAAGTGCATTTGCCTCACCTGTCCGTGTACCACTGGTATTCCGAAGAAGGGAAATGTGGAGCGGCATTTTCGGACTGTTCATAAAAACAACGACATTAACTTCCCTCCGAAAAGTGAGCTGAGAAATAGAAAGGTGAAGAAACTAAAATCCTAGTTATTTTTCTCACGTATATTATAGATTAAATTCAAATTCAATTCAAAAATACTTTATTTATCCCAAAGGGTTATTATTATTATTAATAATAATAATAATAATGATAATAATAATATTTATATTTATAAATAAATATATGTTTTTCTTTTTTATAGTGGGTAGATAATTTTGGCTTGGTCATTTATAAGTAACTCACAAGCTGAAAAAGTGTGGGCACCCCTGTCCTAAAGGGTCAATAGGCAGGGGGATCAATTCTATGGTGGCCTGGAGGACAAGAGGTGAATAAACAATGTAAGGAAGTCATGAACAGGTAAGCAGGCAGGAATGGGAACCGACACAGGACAAATCTGAACTGCCCGATAAGGCTCATGGATAAGAAACGATATCCAGGTAAGAAACGATATCCAGGTTCAAAATTTCTAAGTCAGCAGTAAAGAGGAAGAAAATGAAGCAGGAG